CAAAACAGGAACAGAGACCCAAGAAATGGACACTTGTTAGCTAAATATCTGTCTCTTCCATGCAACCTGAGAGGAAAAGTCTGAGAAATTAGTTTATCCTTTCTCTCACTGCAGAGCTCTGCTGTTCAAATACTCCCTTCGCTTCGAAGCAATTTCCATCTCTGATGGCAGCTGCAGCGCAGCCCACACCTCCCTCAAATTTGGGTGCAGGCAGCTGTGACTTGAGGACGGAAGACGAATGTGGGGAAGCGTGCCGGGGCCTGAGCAGTGTGTGCAGCTGGATGTTCAAGTTCACAGTCCTGCCGAGTGGGGCGCCCAGGCCCCTGGGGAGACAGTGTCCAGCCCCGGTTCTTAGGAAGGTCCTCGTCTGGAGTTTCCGACCCTCAGGAGCCCCGTGAAGTGCAGGTGAGGCAGGGCCACCCTCGCTCGGGTCCAGGGGCGCACTGCTGCCTGGAAACGGCTCGCGTGCGCTGTGTCCCGAGCCCGGAGCACGCTCTTGTCCAGTCTTTGAAATCCTTCACATCCCAGTTTAAAACTTCCCTCGTCAGACAGCCTTGTCTGTTCTCTAAATCCAGACTGGATCCTACCTGTCACGCTCATGCAGTTCCTCTTCTTCCTCTTCTTCTTCCCGGTTCCTCTTCTTCTTGGCATTTATCAAGATTAATAATAATGATGGGATCATTATAATGCATTTGGGTATTACGTTTTTACTATTGTCTTTCCATAAGAATATAAGCTCCAGGAGGGCAGGGACCGCATCATTTGGTTCACCGCTGCATGGCCAGTATTCAGCACGTTGCTTGGCACACAGTAGATGCCCAGGAAACATTTGTCGACCGACTCTCAGCTTCTAGTTTCCTTACTTTTAACATCAGGGTGTTAATGTCTGCCTCATAAATATTAATGTAAGGGCGGAGCAAGAACGGGAGGCAGCAGGTTGACGCAGAGTAGGTGGTCAGTGCATGCTATTACTATTACACACTCAGAGACGGGTGAGGACTGCGGACTCCCGGAGGTGGGCTGTTTAGAGCCGGATAGCTTTCCATGGAATAGGGAAGGCATTCCAGGAGGCAGTAGCCTGAGCAAAGACAGGACAGGGGGTGTAAAGACAGAGAGTGTGGCTGGGTGAGCAGTTAGAAAGGCAGGTTGGGGCCAGATCAGGGAGAGCCTCGAATGCCACCCAAACACATTTAAACTTGATCCTTAGGCAGCAGGGAGCCAATGAATGATTTTGAGCAAAGGTGACAACTGAAGAAGTAGTATTTTAGAAAGATTAATTATAGCAAATCAGATGGACCAGGGATGTGAAGAAAGACAAAAAGCATGACTGTTTCATTCAAAGTCCATGTCTAATCCTTGGGACTGTATAAAATATGCAGGGGCCAGGAGGAAAAGCTCTGACAGGAGACAGATCTGGATTCAACTTTACTATCTGGCTGACGCTGAGCAAGTCACTTCACCCCCCTGGGCCTCAGTTTCTCCACCTATGAAATCGAGATGTTACTCTCTATCCTGCCTACCTCACCGGACTCATGAGAATCAAATGAAATAAAGAAGGCACTCATTCAAAACTCGAACCTCAGTCACACGTCCAGGTCTGATGTGCTAGGGAGACAGTTAAAGGGAAGTGACCTGAAAAGAGGCACATGAGGGCCAGTCACTGAGTGTCACCGTGTGAGGCTTTCCCCCCATCGTCTCACTGAACCTGCACAACATCGCCACCAGGTCGGTACCAACATCAAATCCATTTTAAAATGAGGAAACAGAGGTTCAGAGAGTCTGAGCAACCCACCCGAGGAGGCTCAGCTCTTCCAGGGCAGGGCTCAGGACTGACTCATGCCTGAGACGACCTCCTCCCCTCTGGGGCTACACGCCTTGAACACGCCAGGCTACTTCCAACCTCCACACCTTAGTCGTGCTGTTTCCTTCATGGTAGCCCGTCCTGCCTATTTTTTAACCTGTGAAACTTCCACTCATCTATCAGTTTTTGGATCAGGCTTCAGGAAGCTTCTAGAACCCCTGATTGGGCCCCTCCTCTGAGCTTCCTCAGCACTTAAACCAAACTTCTCCCGTGAGTTTAATCATACCAACTCCAAGCCTTTCAAAAAACATGTTCCCTATCAGGAAAAAATATTTAAGTGTACACCCCCAATATATGCACATTTCTTTATAAATATATACATATGCCTCTGTCAATCATATATTAAACATTAGTAGGCCGGGCGTGGTGGCTGACGCATATAATCCTAGCACTCTGGGAGGCCGAGGCAGGAGGATTGCTTGAAGTCAGGAGTTCCAGACCAGCCTGAGCAAGAGCGAGACCCTGTCTCTACTATAAATAGAAATTAATTGGCCAACTAATATATATAGAAAAAATTAGCCGGGCATAGTGGCGCATGCCTGTAGTCCCAGCTACTCGGGAGCTGAGGCAGCAGGATGCAGGATCGCTTGAGCCCCAGAGTTTGAGGTTGCTGTGAGCTAGGCTGACGCCACTGCACTCACTCTAGCCTGGGCAACAAAGTGAGACTCTGTCTCAAAAATAAATAAATAGAGGAGAAGGGGCGGGGCCAAAGCTGCGCGCCCAATCAGGGCGACGCCTTCGTCTTGCGGTGGGACTCGTGAGGTAACCTGCTCTTAGGAACCAGCAGTATGGCGTCGGGCTGCAAGATTGGCCCGTCTATCCTCAACAGCGACCTGGCCAAATTTAAGGCGCCGAGTGCCTCCCGGGATCTCGACTCTGGGCGGATTATTCTGCCACCTGGATGTAAATGGAAGGGCATTTTGTTCCAACTCACCTTTGTCACCCTGTGGTAGAAAGCCTCGAAAGCGGCTAGGCAGGACCCGTTTCTTGACACATGCCAATGATGGTGGCCAGGGCCGGAACAGTGGGTACAGCCAATGGCTGTGCAGGAGCCTAATAGGTACACCTTTCATACTTGAGGCGACTGAGAACCAGGGGCCTTTATTAAAGACATTCATTGGCAGAATGGAATGAAAGTTGGGGCCTTGCCATCAAACACAGGAACTACGGTTGAGTATTTGGCACCATGGGCCATAAGTCACAATGTAGATATGCCTTGGTTATGACAGTCGGAACCTAGGGTTTGCGAGGGCAGAAATTCATGGAAGATATTGATGCCAAAGGTTCACTGGTGGAGACCGCAGTTCCCTCTTTGCGATATAGAGGTTCGATGGTGGAGTTAGTCCTGACAACTGTCCATGAAAGTTGCAGAGCGCAGGAGCTAACATGATTCGTGTCTGCAGCTGCCATTATGGAGGAGTGAAGACCGCCAGAATCTGTGATCAACCTGTTAAGGAAATGTTTGCTCAGAAGCTGGCTCAGAAACGTTCTTGAATCGATAGGACATAAGGAGGCCCAGTGTTTTCTGCTCATGATTTCTCTATTGTAAACAGGATATTTGCTAGCATATCAATATTGCGTTGAGCATACTGTTCTTTCAAAGCAATTATTCAATTCCAGATGATTAAAATCTATTGTGCAGAATGTTCTAAGAGGTAGAAGTTGGTGTGGTATAACTGCATTTTTGTTTTTTTTTTTTTTTTTTTCGAGACAGAGGTCTCGCTTTGGCTTGTGTCCCAGGCCTATTTGGAGTTGGAGGTGCCGTGGCGCGTCAGCCTAGCTCACAGCACCTCAAATCCTGGGCATTGAGTGCATCCTTCTGCTCAGGCCTCCCGGAGTTAGGCTGCGGACTACAGGCATGCGCCACCATGCCGGCTTAAATTTTTGTATTATAGCGCCAATTAATTTCTTTCCTATTTGATCACGTAAGACGGCGGTCTCTCGCTCTTTGCTCAGGCTGGCTTTTGAATCTCCTCGACCTATGCGCCAATCGCCCGCCTCGGACTGCCCAATGAGCAGGATTAAGGCGTGAGCCACAGAGCGGCCTATAACTGCATTTTTAGTCATGCGGAATTTAAAGATCTAATTTAGTGAATACTCAGTTTTTACTGGAGACTTGATTTTGTATGAAGAGTAAAATAGTCTTGTATATAAGCTTACAAATAGAAATGCCCTGTCTTAATTGCCGTAAGGGTAGGCATATTAGCCCTATATTGGAAAAAGATTTTTTTGGTATTTCTAAAAAATTTTCTGTGTTTCAGCTGTTTCCAATGCAAAGGAAATCTTGATGTTTTTCTAGTTTCTGCATTTGTGATTTTGTTTATGTTGATAATGATTTGAGAAGAGAAGATGATTTAAAAAATATAAATAATGAAATAATAATAAACATTTAGTTAAATAATGTGTTCACTCTTTTTTTTTTTTTTTGAGCAGAGTCTTCCTTTGTTGTCCGCAGGTAGCAGTGAGTGCCCCGTGGCCCGTTCCGGGCCTAGCTCACAGCCAACTCAAACTCTGGGTTTCCAGAAAATAACCCGATCCTTCTGCTCAGCCTCCTGACGTAGCTGGGAACTACAGCATGCCGCCACCCTATGCCCGGCTAGATTTTTTTAGTAGTTATATGATCAACTTGGCCAATTAATTTCTTTCTATTTAGTAGAGACGGTCTCGCTCTTGCTCAGCTGCCGTTTTGAACTCCTGACCTTGAGCAATCCGCCCGCCTCGGCCTCCCAAGAGCTAGGATTACAGGCGTGAGCCACAGCGCCCGGCCAGTTCCCACTCTTTATGAGAAATAAAGATGAATACAGGATCCAGTCTGATATTTTCTTCCCACAGCCCATTGACCACAGACAATCACAAATCGCGTCTCTAACCCACAGCTCCTGGGCCTGGTGGAGCTGGCCCCACTGTCCTAGGCTTGGGGTGGGGGCGGTCTGAGAACTTGGGAGCTCAGCCTGCCCCCTTGAGGCCTGGGCCGGTGGGGGAGGGTGGGGTCGTTGGCTGTCGCCCCTCCCCCAGTGCCGCCAGCCGCCACCCGAGTCCAGCAAGGTGGGGTGAGTTGAGCCGGGATTAGCCGGTGCGGAGAGGAGGCTCCTAGACGGGCGGGTGGCCAGAGAAGGGGGTGGCCATAGGCGAATGCACCATGCCGCTGCAGAACGACACCCTCCGAGAGGTGTGGGCCTCAGACAGGTCTGGAAGGCTCCCGTGTCACCCTACCTGAACCCTGGGGCACCCAGATGGGGGGCTGGGCGAGGGTGGACAGGGAAGGGGAGAGGACTGAGTCTCTTGCCACCCTCAGCGGACACGAGGAAGAAGGGCCGAGCCCAGAGGTCCAGCGGCGCCCCAGGCAGGTCTGTCGGGGCTTGGAAGGAAGCAGAGGTGTCCCCACTGCGTGTACACCACAGGGGAAGGGGGCTGGGGGCAGGGAGATCCCCTTCGGCGGTGGGCGTCTGGGGTTACCTGTCTGGAGTTGTCGAGGGGAGAAAGAGGTGTCTGGGGACAGGGGGCATCCAGGGGAGCGCCGGGACTTTGGGGCATTGGAGGGCTGCGCTGCCGGGAAGGGGTCATCCTTCCTCACCCCAAGAAGGGGGCTGCGGTCCCTCCGGATAATCCGCGGTTATTTCTGGCGGCTCAAGGGATTAGAGGCAACAGGCAGCCCTGGAACCCCCCTTTCTTTCCTCGGCCTCCTCTTGACCCCCACTCCGCAGCGACCCGCCCCGGGACAGAGGCTGAGGAAGAAGAGGACTGAGGCCCCCGAGTCCCCCCGCCCCACGGCACTCAAGCCCCGGAAACCTGGGGGCGCGGGTGAGGTCACGGCCAGGAGGGCCCGAGGGGTTGCGAGCCCGGGCGGGGGAGGGGACTGGCGGGGAAAGCGGGGTGTGGGGTGTGGGGGTGACGAAGGTGCAGACCGAGCCCAGGAGGGGCCCGCACGGGGAGGAGTCCGAGCGGGGCGCCCAGGCTCGGGGTGGGGCGCTGCCTGCGGACCCGCGGGACCGCCTGATCCCCACGTCTCCGCTCAGCGGGGCGCAGGGGGCGGCCGCGGGAGGAGCCTGCCTCTGCGCCCACCGTCTACGCCAAGTTCATCAGGGACCCCGAGGCCAAGAAGCGCGACCCCCGGGAAACCTTCCTGGTAGCCCGCGCCCCAGATGCGGAGGACGGTGAGAGGGCGGAGGACGGGAGGACAGGGGGGCAGGGGGTGGAAACAACCGCAGGGAGAGGCAGAAAACAGCCGCCACTTCCCTGGCCTTGTCTTTGAGCCAGGGGTTGCGCTAAGCACCAGCCTTATGCGGTTGATCCTCTTGTTCTTTTCCCCCATTTTACAGATAGGGAAACTGAGGCACAGAGAGGTTAAGGGTTTTGCCTTAAACTGCAGCTAGGAGCCAGAATAGCCCAGATGGGTCTGACTCAAGGCCAGAAACAGATAAGGACAGGAGATGCACAGTGCGCCACGGGAAGGGGAACACAGGGAGTGTGAGGAGGGGAGGGTGGCAGGGAGGGAGAGGAAGGCCCTGCAGAGAAGCAGAGAACCGGGGTCCTCGCAACAGGATTCCTCAACTCCAGCTCACTCTCCGGACTACAGGCCCTGAGACTGTGGGGCCATGCTCCTTCTTCCAGGGGGGCCGGGCTCCCCCTCCCGTTCCAGAAAGACAGGCCCCACCACTGACCCTTCACCACTCCCAGCAGTGTGCAGGAACTGCGCTCCCAGGCAAGGGGGCCCACCCAGGCCCCCGTTATGGGAGTTTCTACCTACAGAGGAGGAGGATGATGATGACGAAGAGGATGATGAGGAAGAGGAGGAAGAGGAAAAGAAAGAGAAAACCCCTCTGCGTTCCAAGAAGCCCCTCAAAGAGAAGACTTCTGCAGACATGAAGGAGAGGAGGGCCAAGGCCCAGGGTGCGAGGGGTGGGTGTGGAGGGTACAGACGGGCACACGGGCAGGGGACAGTAGCCCTGCCCTTGGGGGTGTGGGTCTCCCTGACACACAGGAGTCCAGACCTCAGAAAGGGACCCAGGGCCTGGACCAGAGGGTGTGCCCTCTGACAGTTTCCACCATAGGGACCTAGAGGAACATGTGCTCCCGCCCCAGCCCCGCCTGCCCCTGCCCAGGGCGGCTGTGAACCAGGCGAGGACAGAGGATTTCAGTGTTCTTTGTAACTGTTGTTTAGTTTTTGTTTTTAACTCAATCTGAATTACTGTTATACTTTTTATAAAAGTACCACAGTGATTACAGTAAGAGGAAATCGTGGATAAATGCCCCCTGGCGAGGCATCCCAGGGTGATGGTTCCCTGGCTTGGGTTCTTCACCCCACAGGTGCCCGGCGCTGGAGCCCGGGCCTGGGGGGGGGGGAGTGTGCGCACGCTGTAGCAGTGGCCAGAGAAGGTGTCCTGGCAGAGACAGGGCAGAAGGCAGGAAGAAGGCCTGGCATTCCCTCCCTCCCTCCTTCCTTCATGCATTCAGTAACTGCTTGTAAATGTGCTAGTCTTTGTCCAGCACCTTTCTGGACTCGGGGAAAAACCAAGACAAGCAGAAGGCAGACTGTGGGCCTTGGGCTCCACCCTGGCCGGGCACCGGAGGGAGGCTGAGTGGCTGGAGGCAGCCTGCGGCCCCAGTAAGGCTCCTGCTTTGTCTAACCCCACCTCCCGTCTCCAGGGGACCAGGGAAGCCCTGAGCCCCCATCCAAACCTCTTCACGTTAAGAAGAAGGAAGCCCCAGCCGGGGAGGGGACCAAGATGAGGAAGATGAAGAAGAAGGGTGAGCGTGGCCTGGGGAGGGCCGGGGGACTCTGGCTGTGGGGGGTTGTGACCTTTCCTGTCAACACGTGCAGGGGCAGGGGAGGCTGGTGAGGACCCCTCAGTGCGCCCGGGCGCTGTGAAGAAGAAGACTCCAGCCGCCATGTTTCTGGTTGGGGAAGGTGGCCCTGCCGAAAAAGCTCTGAAGAAGAAAGGTAGGTGGCAATGGATGCTGGTGCCATGAATCTTGAGGTGGTTGGGGTGGGGAGGTGGGGTGGTGCAGAGCCAGGTGGGGAGCACGGGCTCTGGAGTCGGGGACTGAGGGCACCTTGGCCTCCACCCTGAGGGTGTGTGGTCTCAGGCAGGCGCCTCTGCCTTTCTGCACCGTCAGTAGTGGGAACACCGGGCGATCCTCTCGTGGTTGTGGACAGCGTCCAGGCGAAACACGGTGTGGGAGGGTGCAAGCAGGGTGAGGAGCTGACAGCCTTGCTTCTCCCTCCATGCCCAGGCGCACCCAAAGGCCCAGAAGAAGAGAAGAAGGAGGAAGAGGAGGAGGAGGAGGAGGGCACAGCTGTGGCGACTAAGAACAGCAATCAGAAGGGCAAAGCGAAAGGAAAAGGCAAAAAGGTTGGGGCCCAGAGGGGAAGGGGGCCGAGGTTCCCTCAGGGAGCAGGGGCACGGGGACTGCAGGGCGGGGCCTCGTGGGCTGGGGCCTTGGAGTCACTTGGGACCAGAATCTTGGCTCCCCCTCCTGTGACAGGATATGAGGACAAAGGGCGCAAGGTTTGTGCGGACAGAGGAGGGTTTTGGGGGTCACCAGGCTAAGACTGACCATCCAAGGGCCTTGTGTCAGCGGGTCTCTGAGGCCTCCCTCTGTAGCAGGATCACCAGACACAGGTGAAGATGCCCCCGCCCCAGCCCGGCACGAAGAGACACACGCTTTGTGTACCAGGGAAGTGGAGCACACAGGCACCCCACCTAGGACCTCCCAACCTCCCAGCAACTAAGCATCCACCAACTAACGGGTTAACACCTGATTGCCAGGGGCCCCCAGGGTCCTCCTCCAAGCTTGCCAGCTGTCAGTCTGTCAGTCGGTTCCAACTGGACTGACTTGCGACTGGCGTTCTCCACGGGCAGAACAGGTTGTTAAACATTTTCAGTATTGCCCCTGCCCACAAACAGGACTCAGGCACCAACACACGCAAGCTGAAGCAGAAGAGGGAGGCCCAACTGAGAGAGAGAAAGTGAGGAAAGACTCTGAGAAATGGGTTTCCACCAGTGGAGAGGCTGCCCCAAGGGCAGGGCCTGGGGGTTAGATTGGTGGGTTCATTAGTTTGTGCAGGAGTGGTCAGGTCTTGGGGGACTGATTCACATTAACCAAGATCACCAGATGCAGATGTACAAACTGAAAGGCCAGTTTATTATCTCCCCGGAGGAATATAACTGCCAAGCAGTCTCCAATACAGTAGGCTCTTGAAATTCGCAGCTGTGGAAGTGTTTGAATAAGCTCTGGCTTTCTCCACATCACATTCCAAACATGGCCTTGCGTTTCCCAAGTTTCTTCTTGAGCAGCCTGGAGTGGAGAGTAGATGGTCACTTGCCCTGAGCTAAGGGCCTGGGCCCTCGCGGCAGCCTCAGCTCACACACGCTGCAAACCTGCCCTGGCCAAACATGGCCACCCACAGCACATCAGGGCCTCCCAGAGGCTCGCAGGCAGCGTTCCCCCCTCAGATGCACCCAGGCCGGCATGCATGCTCTCCCTGCCGGAGAGCTGGGCTCAGAATCCTGGCTCCCCTCCTGTGGGGGACAGAACACGAGGGCAAAGGGCACAGGGTCGTGAGAACAGAGGGGGCCTTTGTGGAGTGCGCAGGCCATCCAGGGCCATATGTCACCAAACTGTTATTAGGAGTCTCTCAGTGAGCAAAGTGAGATTATCTATTCATTCACGTATTTGCTGTGTAACAAATCACTCCTAAAACCCAGTGTCTTAAAACAGCACTTGCTTTCTTACTCAATTTCTGAGAGTCAGAATTCAAAGAGTGGCTTAGCAGGGTATGGCGGCTCAGGGTCCCTCACGGGGCTGCAGTGAGGACGTCAGCTGGGGCTACAGCCGTCCGGACAGCTTGACTGGAAGCGAAGGCTCCACTTCCACATGGTTTAGTGTCGTGGCTGGCTGGGGACCTCAGTTCCTTTCCATGTGCCACTCCCCTTAGGGCTGCTTGAGTGTCCTTATGACATGGCAGACGACTTCTCCCAGAGCCCAAGGGAGACAGCCAGGTAGAAGCCACAATGTCTTTTTTGTGTGTGTGTGAGACACAATCTTGCTCTGTTGCCCAGGTTAGAGTGCCGCGGCATCATCATAGCTCACTGCAGCCTCAAACTTCTGGGGTCAAGCCATCCTCCTGCCTCAGCCTCCTGAGTAGCTAGGACTATATGTGTGTACCACTATGCCCAGCTAATTGTTTCTAGAGAGACGGGGTCTCGTGCTTGCTCAGGCTGGTCTGGAACTCCTGACCTTGAACGATCCTCCTGCCTCATCCTTCCAGAGTCCTAGGATTACAGGCGTGAGCCACTGCACCCGGCCTACAATATTTTTTATGACCTAGCCTTGGAAGTGACCACCTAATCACTTCTGTCATATTCTATTGGTCACAAAGACCAATCCTAGGGCTGGACACAGTGGCTCATGCCTGTAATCCTAGTACTCTGGGAGGCTGAGACAAGAGGATCACTTGAGCTCAGGAGTTGGAGACCAGCCTGAGCAAGAGCAATGACACGTTTGTCTCTACCAGAAAAATAGAGAAAATATCTGGGACGTAATATACTACGTTTACCCCTACTACTATACATAGACGATAGTACTCATATACTATATAATCGCGTAAAAAATTACTAAAAATTAGCCGGGCATGGTGGCGCATGCCTGTAGTCCCAGCCACTCAAGAGGCTGAGGCAGGAGGATCGCTTGAGCCCAGGAGTTTGAGGTTGCTGTGAGCTAGGCTGACGCCATGGCACTCTAGCCCGGGCAAGAAAGTGAGACTTTGTCAGGGAAAAAAAAATACCGACCCTAGGACACTGTGGGAGAGGACTATACAGGGCATAAGTACCAGGAGGCAGGGACCACCAGGAGCCTCCTGAGGCTGGCTACCACGGCCACTGGGTACACACGTGTGCGGACCGTGTCAGCAGTAGGCAGCACCTCTCGCATGGCTGCCACGCGCCTAGAACACAGCAGTCCATTCTGTCGGCCTCAGCTCACTGCCTGGCACAGTGTCCCCGGGAGGGAAGGTCTTTCTAAAGGCTCTGGACCTAACAGGACACTGAGCCTCTTCCTGGCTCTGTGAACCCGGGCAAGGTGCTTAACTTCTGCAAGCCTCAGGCTCCCTGTCTGCACAGCGGGGACCTGCCTGGGCGAGTGGTCTGAGGGCTAACCAGCGAGCCCGGGAGCGCCTGCGCCCGGCAGTGGTGGGCTCACACAGGGTGTGCTAAGCATGTAAATAGGTAGGTCTGTCCCAGCTGTCCACCCCGCCGTACCCACTTCGCAGATGAAAACCCTGAGTCACAGTGTGGTTAAGCTTAACAAACACGACAGATGGCCAGTAGTGGAACCAGGGTTTGAACCTAGACAGTCTGGCTCCAGAGCCTGGGCTCTTAACCACAAGTTAAACAGAAAAATAATAGACCACAGAGCTCCGCGGAGCCTCCTAGGGTGGCGGGCGCTGGGAAGCACGGGGCAGAGGCGCCCGCCCCCAGGGACACGGTGCTCCAGCGGCCTCTCCGTTCGCTCTGCACACAGAAGGCGGTGAGTCGCCCTGCCCTGGCCGTGCTGCCTGCGTCCCGGCACCGGGCCCGCCGAGGGCGGGCAGCTGGTGCTCCGGTGACGCTCCCTCTGCCCGCCAGAAGGAGGAGCGGGCCCCGTCTCCGCCCGTGGAGGTGGGCGAGCCGCGCGAGTTCGTGCTGCGGCCGGCCCCGCAGGGCCGCACGGTGCGCTGCCGCCTGACGCGCGACAAGAAGGGCATGGACCGCGGCATGTACCCCTCCTACTTCCTGCACCTGGACGCCGAGAAGAAGGTGGGTGGGGGGCGGGGCGGAGGTGCCACGACCAGGCTGAGGGAGGGGCTGCGGCCGGGAGGAGGCCCACCGCGTCCGCCCCATCCTCTCTCGGTCACCCTCCTCCCAGGTGTTCCTCTTGGCTGGCAGGAAACGGAAACGGAGCAAGACAGCCAATTACCTCATCTCCAGCGACCCTACCAACCTGTCCCGAGGAGGGGAGAACTTCGTGGGGAAGCTGAGGTGGGGCCTTGGGTGGGCAAGAGGGCCTCGGCCAGGTGCCTCTGTCCCTGCGTCTGGCAGAGTGCCGCCCGCCACACTGGCACTCTGCGAGTGCCCCTTGCCCCCGGCCTCTCACACTTCGCTGTGCACAGATGACTTGGGGATCTTGCTGTGTTTTTTTTGAGACAGAGTCTCGCTTTGTTGCCCAGGCTAGAGTGAGTGCCATGGCGTCAGCCTAGCTCACAGCAACCTCAAACTCCTGGGCTCAAGCGATCCTCCTGCCTCAGCCTCCCGAGTAGCTGGGACTACAGGCATGCACCACCATGCCCGGCTAATTTTTTCTATATATTTTTAGTTTGCCAATTAATTTCTTTCTACTTTTAGTAGGGATGGGGTCTCGCTCTTGCTCAGGCTGGTTTTGAACTCCTGACCTGGAGCGATCTGCCCGCCTCGGCCTCCCAGAGAGCTAGGATTACAGGCGTGAGCCACCGCGCCGGGCCGGGGATCTTGTTGACATGGTCCCTTGAGCCCGCAGTGGGCAGAGACCGCATTTCTGAGCGGCGCCCACGTGACGCCCGCCCTGCTGTGCAGGCCACTCATGCGTGCGTGGCCGCAGGCACCCGGGGAGCAGGGCCCGGCCGTCTTGTCAGGGCCAAACTCCTGGCACTTGGCACGCAGTAGCTCTAACAACCGCTTACCGCGTGGGCAGCGCTCTGTGCCGTGTCTCCCCTACGTCTCATCTCATCTCCACCACGAATCAGAGGGGTCAGGGGTGAGGCGAACCCGGGTCAGGCCTTATTTCTTTTATTTATGTATTTACCAAAACTTTTAAAAGGCCTACCTTTGTGTCAGGCCTAGTTCTAGGTAGCCTATTTTAGGGTTAAACCATTTAATCCTCCTCTCCACCAAGTGAGGTTTTTTATTGCCCCCAGAGTTTCCCATTTTATAGATGGGGAAGTTGAGGCTCAGCGAGTTTAAGTAACTTGCCTGAGGTCCCACAGCTACTAAGAGATGGAGCTAGGATTTGAGTACTGCCCAGTCTCCTTGTAGATCCAACTTCTAAAAAGAAGTCCCCACAGGGGCAGCCTGGGGCTGGGGACGGGAGCTGCTCCGGAGGCGCCCTGCACCTGGAGGCAGGAAGCTCTCAGAACTGCCCGGCGGAGCAGGGGCTGGGGGCGGATGTGGAGGCCCCTCAGCCCCGCCCAGCCTCGCCCTGCTTGCAGGTCCAACCTCCTGGGCAACCGCTTCACCGTCTTTGACAACGGGCAGAACCCGCAGCGGGGAGGCGGCTCTGACGTGGGAAGCCTTCGGCAGGAGCTGGCAGCCGTGATTTACGTAAGAGCGCCCCCGCCCCGCGCCCGCTCCCTCGCGGGCCTGCCTGACCCGCGTCTCTCTCCCAGGAGACCAACGTGCTAGGCTTCCGGGGCCCCCGGCGCATGACGGTCATCATTCCTGGCATGAGTGCGGACAACGAGAGGGTCCCCATCCGGCCCCGAAATGTGAGCTCTGCACCTCTGCAGCCCCTGTCCCTGAGCGTCCTGCTCCCTATATGACCCCATCCGGGGGAGCAGAGGGTGAGGGGACTCAGTTTACCCGGCCCCTGAGCACACTCATCACCCTCCAGCACAAATTCATTCTGGCAACCTGTGGAATGGATTTGGGGCTTTTATTATTGAATCCACTGAAACAACCGCAATGGGCTTTTCAGTTTTCTGAGTTCACATCAAACTCATCTGTTACATTGACTCATATATCCACTGAACACACACCCTGAGTGCCAAGTATCATTCTGGGCCCCTGGAAGACATCAGTGGACAAAACAAAGATCTGCCCTCGTGCAGCCGGCACTCTAGTGGCGGAGACAGACAGTAGACGATAAGTGTGGTGAATAAGTACATTATGGAGCGTGTTAGGTAACAAGTACTATGGAAAAAAGCCAAACAGGGGACGGAGATGACAAGCATGCGTGTGTAGCTTCAACATTAAATACGGTGGCCAGAGTGGGCCTCCCTGGGACGGTGAGGCAGTGAGCCTGCAGATCTGTGGAGGAAGGGCATCCGGGCAGAGGGAAGAGCCAGTGCAAAGGCCCTGTGGCAGGAGGTGCCTGGTGGGTTTGAGGAGCAGCAAGGGGCCAGGATGGTTGGAGGGAGATGAGGTTAGAAAGGGCCTGCATAACCGGGTTTTACTCTGAGAGAAATGGGAAGCCGTAGCAGGGCTTTGAGCAAAGGAGCTACATGACTTACGTTTTAAAAAGCAAAGGTCGTTTCGGTTTTGTGTGTGTGTGTGTGTGTGTGTGTGTGTGTGAACAGGAACAACTAAAAATACTAGAAAAAATACCGGGCCATGGTGGCGCATGCTATCCCACAGCACTTGGATGGCCTGCAGGCAGAGGACGGCTTGAGCCCCACGGAGTGAGGTGCGAGTCCTAGGCTGATTCCACCCGGCACCTAACCCGGCCAACAAGAGTGAGAGCCTCTTCTCCATTTAAAAAAAGAAGAGCCGGAGGAGCACCAGCCAGTTGAGTAGGAAGAACAGGTACCCATGGTACAAGAAGATCCTCAGAAAGTTTGAAAGGAAAGACAGTGTATAT